GGTTCTAAAACATGGGTCAAGTTGGGCGGGTTGAGTTATGACCCATTGTTTAGCCCATCTTGATCCAACTCATCTTAGCCCAAATACACTTTGGGCTGGGTTGGGCAATGACCCATTTATTACCTAGCCCATCTTGACCCGCCCAAATTTAGCCCAACCCGCCCATTTGCCGCCCTTAGGGGTAAGTCTACCAACTCAGTAAGTAATGAAAGTATGTAATAACCCGAAAGCAGGAAATCCAAATAAAGCACATAGCGAGGCTAAACATCAACAGTTCTACTTATCTCAATACCAACTATTTAACCATGCAAAGCAACAGATAATAAAGCATGAATGGGATGCGATGCAATGCATGTCCACTGCGGCGTGCAGCCCGAGCCATCCGTATGGGTACCCGAACTCACTATGGGGGTTCAGACTCCGGAGGGGCTCCTACAGCTATCACGACCCAAAAATCCCGATCGCAATGGCGCCCGGCCGCAAGGCTAGGCAAGCCCGACCATAATACCCATAAGCCGCCTAAGAGGCATAAAATGAATAATACAATACCGAATCTCTGGAAATAACATACTGAATATATACAACACACCCTAGGAAGCGGTGTCACAAGTCTGAGCCTCTAGAACATAGAACAAATATGATACAAACGACTCCATAACTGGAAATACACTGGAATACTGAAATAAAGACATAGAGAAAGAGAGAGTCGATGGCTGCGGACGCCGTGCAGCTACCTCAACGCTCCTGACTGATGCTAGCTACCCTCTGCCAGATCTACTGTGCCTGAGACTGCCCTGGATCTGCACACAAGGTGCAGGGAGTATGGGGTGAGTCTACCAACTCAGTGAGAAATGAGAGTCTATAAACCCGAAAGAAGGAAACGCGGTAAAACACAATATAAAGCTATCTAGCAGTCCTGTACAGTACAAATCTCAGAAATATACATGTCAATCAACAGAAAGTAATCTCATATAATGTCCTGCAATGCATATAATAATACGCCATAACGTACAGTGTCAATAGTTACCACTGTTTTACATTAGAATACATGGTGTCAATAGTTACCACCGTTTCCATGATAATATACGGTGTACATAGTTACCACCGTTTTCATTTATGATATGCGGTGTCAATAGTTACCACCGCTTCCATTATAATATACGGTGCCCATAGTTACCACTGTTTACACATTTATAATATACGGTGCCTATAGTTACCACCGCTTCCAAGAAGATATTATACAGTCCTGAAAATAACATAATTAATAATCGTCAGCCCAAGATATCCTTCAAGAATCTTTTGAGTTTTCAAATATAGCAATATAGCTGAGTTGCAACAATAGTGTTAAAACCTTTGGACTGTATACAAATAATATGCATGTTCTGAAAATGCAAATAAATATATCCCTGAAGGATTCTACAAGTCGGCACAAGGCCCCAAGGATGGCATCAAGCCCATATCAATTCCTGTGGGATTATACAAATCGGCACATGGCCCCAACATGACATTAAGCCCATATATCATCAATATAAGCAACAATTAAAGCGCTAACCACAATATAGGTTACTTCTCGGATTGAAACCGAATTTCATTTCATAACATTCGCGACTCCGCACTACCATGGAGTACGTGTCCAGCTCACAATAGCTTCACAATGTGATAATACGGGGTTTCATACCCTCGGATAATATATACACCCATTACTCACCTCGATACGGCTGGAAAACTAGCCCGAAACGCCTTTTCCTTTCGAATTCTCTCCAACGAATGTCGAATCTGCCCAAAATCACAACGAATACATTACATGATGTTAATGGAACATATCCCAATTGATATAACTCGAAAAACAACCCAATTCTCGAAATTCACAAAACCCGAGCCCCGGGCCCACATCTCGAAAAAATACGAAAATTATATCCCCGGATTCCTCGTCTCGCCACGAGTCCGTACATATAAAATTTACCAAAATCGGAGTCCATTTGACCCCTCAAATCTTCATTTAAAGATTTTGAACTCAAGGCCCTACATCCTCAATTTACTCCTCAAAAACATGTAATCTAGTCGGGTTATTCGATGATAATTCAATATTATAGAGTAAAAATAATCACAAGTGACTTACCTCAAGATTTCCCAAGATTTTTTGCTAAAAATCGCCCAAAACCCGAGCTTGGAAGGTGAAAAATGGGAAAAACTCGGACTGAAATGCTTAAAACTGGAGCAGAAATTCGCACTGTTCATGCGGGTACTGTTCACGCGCGGTCACTATTCATGCGCGTATGGTACTGTTCACTATTCACCCGCGCGGTTACTGTTCACGCGCGGGCACTGTTCACTATTAAAAATGCAGCAACTTTTTTGAATAAAATTGCAGCACAACCATTTTCTAATAAAATGGCTCTAACTCCTTCATACGAACTCGGAATTAGACGATTCTTTTTCCTATGGCTCCGTAATTTTGATACGGATCTAGCAGTCCAAACAAAACTAAATTTGGATCTCATTAGCTCAGTTAAATTCCAATTTAGCTCGTTAAATAATTAATTCACATATCGCGTCAAAAACCCGATCGCGACTTGGTGAAATTAAACCAAAATTTCCAGATCAGTCCTATAATTCATGATTTAAATTCCGGAAGTCTCAGAATCAATTTTGGATCTCTAAAACTAAAAATGAGCCTTTAGATCCTTACATTTATTCTCAAAATGGCAAAAAGCTTCAAAAAATGACCCGTTAGCCATCCGAAATCACCCCGAGGCCCTCGGGACCTCAACCAAAAGCACCAACAAGACTTAATACCTCATTCAAACTTGCTCGGCCAATAAAAACGCTACCTATAACACCAAAAATCACCAAAATCCTAAGATTCAATTCAAGCTTTAACTTAAACTTTTCAATTTCATATTCGATGTCGAAACCAACCAAAAGAAGTCCGAATGAACTGAAATTTTGCAGACAAGTCCAAAATGACATAACGAAGCTACAACAACTTTCGGAATTCCATTCCGACCCTCGGATCAAAATCTCACCTATCAACCGGGTTTCTCTAAAATACTAACTTCGCCAATCTTAGCTAACTTTCACACCGGATCTCCGAATTCACTTCTGTTTTCACTCCTAAGTCACAAATCATTCCCCGAAACTGGTCGAGCCATCGGAAATCTGTTCTGAGCCCTCTAACTCATCGGTCAATATTGGGTTGACTTTTCCAAACTAATCCTTTTTTAAAGATACTTATTATCTCATTTCCATTCAAACTCAATCCGAATTGACTCAAATTCTCCAAATACACATATTGAAACATGAACAAGTATTTAATGGGGATTACGGGGTGGTAAATACAGGAAACGACTGTTCGGGTCGTTACATCCTCCCCAACTTAAACAAACGCTCGTCCTCGAGCGTACCCAGAGTTGTACTAGAAGTAGCCCAGCAGCCAAATGACCTTACCAAGTCTATGCCTGGGGTGATCCCACGTCACCCTAACTCACGTAGGTACCAATAACACAATACAGCTGCAATTTCACAATCCATCTAGCCCATAAACTGTAGACCCACACTGCACCACCCGAAATCATACACAAGATCTGAACCTCACACCTATACTCAAAATTAGTCTGAACCAGCTGTAACAACCTACACCTGCAACCTCAGGTGAATTCATACAATATACCACGCCCTTCAACACTTGGAACAATAGTCTTTTCATAGCAGTTGCCCACAATACTCAATACCAATAGATCACCTCTTATTTAGCTAGAGTCTTATTCCAACACTTTCATATACTGTCAACAATAAATGAGACACACAGCAAATCATAATCATTTTTCAAATCAGCCACTTATGAAGCCACTTCCTTCTTGACTAATACCGCAATAGATTTTCGAACGGAACCTCAATATCATCCTCCTAACAAGCCGAAATCAAATCTGTTCGTATTCATCGCTTCCCTCAAAATCACATCAAATCCAACACACCACTCGGGTGATATGACACCTCAATACAGGCCTAAGCCACAACTTTCACAATACGCGCACCAATTAGAAACAGTCCGAACATAGTCAAATCATGAAAAAGACTCAACTGAGAGAGTTATACCTCAAAATCATTAGTACTGCCACAACACAAGGCTGAGACCCTGTCTCACATCATAGTAATATGATACACAAATTTGACCTTCAAGGTCATGTTTCTACACAGCTTTGCTGCAACGCGCGATCTTATCCATATATTACTCCACATTAAACGCCTCAAGTCCCTATACTTGAAATCGACAACCATGCTCAATTGATGGGTGGAGCAAGAGCAAATCATTACCCCCACGGTGAAACAAATAACACATGCCATGCAAACCTGATAGAACATAATCCAACTCACCTCACCACTCAACAACCCGTGGCATTTTCGACATAGCCCATGGCACAATAGTTCTGAATTGCTGACACTAAGACAACCAGTCTAAATTCTAACATCACATACAAAAATCTAACATACCCGCAACTAGAGATCCACTCGAGTCTCCAAATCCTGATAGCCGTTAATCAGTACCGACGTATACGGTCCATAACCACAATATAGCTTGTACATGAGAACTCTCAGTCTCCAACTCCATATAACTCACGCATCATCATACCGTGCCCCAATTTCCACAGTGAAAATACATGCTCCTCTTCAATACACAATCATCTCACAACAATTACTCAAAAGTTTCATGCGCCGTACAAGCAACTCGAAAATCAATAGCCAATCTATCCTTAAAGTGTTGCAATATTATTGAAGTGCCATCAACTTAATCATATTGGCCTTTTCTGAATCATATAACCTCTACAATCACTACGATTGGAAATACAATTTCCTCAGTCATCTGAAGATCGTTCACCCCAATCATCTGGAGCTCATTTCTCAATTCACCCAAAACTGCTCATACTGCTTAAGAATGTTATGAATTCTCATTCAGGACTGAACCACAACCTTACACACGCAGTTCTCAATACTTTGCAACATATCGTATATACCATATCATACTAATGTAATATGAGGACTTCACCTCCTTTCCAAACCATGAATGTTACGTACTTAACAAGTCGAGAGCTTTCATTAATACTCTCTAGAAGAAAATTCATTATACATCCCATGCCCTGCATGACATACATAGATCTTGCTCAAATTCTTACAATACCGACATGACAGATAAGATCTGTATAAATTCACAACACCGCCGAATTAATAATTTATCTGGGTTTATACTTCTGACAGAACTATCACCTCATTCTGAACCAACAATGGTCTTACCCCCTTAAGTTACTTCATATACTCAGATCACAGTGACATCGAATTCAATGATCTCGTCTCATCCATTACGAACTGTTCAGGCGATAAGCCACCTTAGACATCATTAAAAGCCGCATACGATGCCTCAATATGCCAATAGGCTACAAATTCGATCGCAACACAAAAGAAAACGCACTCTGGAAGGAAATACAAATACTTCGCATAATACGAACTTTCCTTAGAAAATAGGAAGCATGATATGCAAAATAACATATAGAGACTATGCTCATCATCACATTGTTGCGGCGTGCAACCCGATCCAGATAACATACTCGTGGTGACGTGCCACCCGATCCGCACATAGATCTCACATAAGGAGATGCACATCGAGCCAAATCTGCTCATTACCACAAATTACCGAGTATCGGTCATAAATATGCTAAGTGCATAATAATATCTCTGAGGGACATATAGCATAATAAGCTACAACACTCAAGCACAACTGAGGTGCGATGTACAATCTGAATTTCAAGAGCTAAAAATGCTCATATAACGTTATTCTTATGCGGGTTCTCAACATATAACAATTTCTCGAGTCATTTCACAACTCGCACCGCACACTGCATCACTACGCAAAATATTTGACAGTGAATCATCAACATAACTACTTCTCCATGAGGACCGCATTACAAAAATGAACACATCTGGCCTGATAGAGAGCCATTATTCATATTAAATCTATCCACCGACTTGAAGTCGATTCTGTTCACACTGAACTAGTCTGATAACCTTTCAAAGGTCCTCAATAACTTTCATTTTTTTCTCATAACACACAAGCATAACCATCACAATCGGAGTAACACTCCCATTTCGCAACCCAATATGCCAAGTGCCCTCCAGGCATGAATGTTTAATTTAGTAACACCATCACAAGCTTCATACTTGGTTTGCATCTTTAATAATTCCAGTGATCACATGCCACACTTATATAATTTTCTCGTGGGACACAATCCCACAACCTACCACAACAATATCTGTAGTGTACCTCCAAACCACCAGTCGCACTAACGCTGAAGAGCAATCAAGAATCATTGACCAGGGTGTAACACCCTTTTTACAAAACATTGATCTTAGGTGACGCCGAAGACAATGCCAACTTGGCATAAACATTGAAATTTATCTCCTGCTCATCCGAGCTCATGATATCTTGTCTAAAAATTTCCTTCATTCGTGCCATTCTCGACCAAAATTCCACAACCAGAACTGACTCACCAGCATGCATCAAATCAGAACTAAAATAGTACATAACCGTACAATTTGCTAACCAATATCAAGCTCCCCAACTTGGCTCGAAGCCATAAATCACAATACATATACTCCATTATTGACGTAATACCATGATGAGATTAAACTCACTCTTTCATAAGATTATGGAAGCACGAATACTCAGAGATTCTATCTCTTTCGCAACTCTTGCATTCACTCACATAACTGTTAAGCCCATCTTTTTTTTGGGCGACAAAATTCTCACTAAGTCCTAGATTTTCCGAAAATTTCGGCAGAGTTTCCTTTGTAACTGGGCCTATCCACCTGTCAGAGAACTACCAAAACATCCTAACAACATGTCCACAACTGAACAAAATATCACAATGTGTATCAATAACAGAAATCGCAATGCTACATGTATTATATATTACCAAAATTGATACCTGAGCATGCGTTGTACCTGTTTGAATCATAACATACGGAAAAATACCTTTCAATTACACTTGAGATCTTCTAACATGCACATAAGGGTCATACCATTAAAGGACACCCAGCAGGAGATATCCCACCTGCTTCGCCTCAATTCAGTATTTCATCATACCTTCCTCGACATTTCCAAGTCATATAAATACATCCCGCAATACCAATATACTCATCACGTAGCTATCCAGTCGTCATTCCTACAATTAGGGACAATACCTAACATACAAGTTCATAATACCAGTTCGCAAGATCAGCACCTTGGTGCTCAGTCATTGGCAACGATTCGGCCTCAAGTCCTCCAGACTGGCCCAATATCAACTCATTGAAATCATCAGCCATCAAGGCACACATACACTGGGCGCTCACGGGCGCATACAAACGAGAGGAAGGAACTTTAAGAGTAATTTCCCAAACTGAATCAAGTACGCACGATAAGAGTTCCAAGAATGTGAAACATTTCCTAAAGATCTGTAGCTTCCCGTGGATAAGTACGGACGTCTACGTACCCATCCGCGAGACTCTACTAAACCGGCTCAAGACTCGCGAGACCAAGTAACCTAGGCTCTAATACCATGTTGTCACGACCCAAAAATCTCGGTCGCGATGGCGCCCGGCCGCAAGGCTAGGCAAGCCCGACCATAATACCCATAAGTCGCCTAAGAGGCATAAAATGAATAATACAATACCGAATCTCTGGAAATAACATACTAAATATATACAACACACCCTAGGAACCGGTGTCACAAGTCTGAGCCTCTAGAACATAGAACAAAAACGACTCCATAACTGGAAATACACTGGAATACTGAAATAAAGACATAGAGAAAGAGAGAGTCGATGGCTGCGGACGCCGTGCAGCTACCTCAACGCTCCTTACTGATGCTAGCTGCCCTCTGCCAGATCTACTGTGCCTGAGACTGCCCTGGATCTGCACACAAAGTGCAGGGAGTATGGGGTGAGTCTACCAACTCAGTGAGAAATGAGAGTCTATAAACCCGAAAGAAGGAAACGCGGTAAAACACAATATAAAGCTATCTAGCAGTCCTGTACAGTACAAATCTCAGAAATATACATGTCAATCAACAGAAAGTAATCTCATATAATGTCCTGCAATGCATATAACAATACGCCATAACGTACAGTGTCAATAGTTATCACTGTTTTACATTAGAATACACGGTGTCAATAGTTACCACCGTTTCCATGATAATATACGATGTCCATAGTTACCACCGTTTTCATTTATGATATGCGGTGTCAATAGTTACCACCGCTTCCATTATAATATACGGTGCTCATAGTTACCGCTGTTTACACATTTATAATATACGGTGCCTATAGTTACCACCGCTTCCAAGAAGATATTATACAGTCCAGAAAATAACATAATTAATAATCGTCAGCCCAAGATATCCTTCAAGAATCTTTTGAGTTTTCAAATATAGCAATATAGCTGAGTTGCAACAATAGTGTTAAAACCTTTGGACTGTATACAAATAATATGCATGTCCTGAAAATGCAAATAAATATATCCCTGAAGGATTCTACAAGTCGGCACAAGGCCTCAAGGATGGCATCAAGCCCATATCAATTCCTGTGGGATTATACAAATCGGCACATAGCCCCAACATGGTATTAAGCCCATATATCATCAATATAAGCAACAGTTAAAGCGCTAACCACAATATAGGTTACTTCTCGGATTGAAACCGAATTTTATTTCATAACATACGTGACTCCGCACTACCATGGAGTACGTGTCCAGCTCACAATAGCTTCACAATGTGATAATACGGGGTTTCATACCCTGGGATAATATATACACCCATTACTCACCTCGATACGGCTGGAAAACTAGCCCAAAACGCCTTTTCCTTTCGAATTCTCTCCAACGAATGTCGAATCTGCCCAAAATCACAACGAATACATTACATGATGTTAATGGAACATATCCCAATTTATAGAACTCGAAAAACAACCCAATTCTCGAAATTCACAAAACCCGAGCCCTGGGCCCACGTCTCGAAAAATTACGAAAATTATATCCCCGGATTCCTCGTCTCGCCACGAGTCCGTACATATAAAATTTACCAAAATCGGAGTCCATTTGACCCCTCAAATCTTCATTTAAAGATTTTGAACTCAAGGCCCTACATCCTCAATTTACTCCTCAAAAACATGTAATCTAGTCGGATTATTCAATGATAATTCAATATTATAGAGTAGAAATAATCACAAGTGACTTACCTCAAGATTTCCCAAGATTTCTTGCTAAAAATCGCCCAAAACCCGAGCTTGGAAGGTGAAAAATGGGAAAAACTCGGACTGAAATGCTTAAAACTGGAGCAGAAATTCGCACTGTTCATGCGGGGTACTGTTCACGCGCGGTCACTGTTCATGCGCGTATGGTACTGTTCACTATTCACCCGCGCGGTTACTGTTCACGCGCGGGTACTGTTCACTATTAAAAATGCAGCAGCTTTTTTGAATAAAATTGCAGCACAACCATTTTCTAATAAAATGGCTCTAACTCCTTCATACGAACTCGGAATTAGACGATTCTTTTTCCTATGGCTCCGTAATTTCGATATGGATCTAGCAGTCCAAACAAAACTCAATTTGGATCTCATTTGCTCAGTTAAATTCCAATTTAGCTCGTTAAACAATTAATTCACATATCGCGTCAAAAACCCGATCGCGACTTGGTGAAATTAAACCAAAATTTCCAGATCAGTCCTATAATTCATGATTTAAATTCCGGAAGTCTCGAAATCAATTTTGGATCTCTAGAACTAAAAATGAGCCTTTAGATCCTTACATTTATGCTCAAAATGGCAAAAAGCTTCAAAAAATGACCCGTTAGCCATCCGAAATCATCCCGAGGCCCTCGGGACCTCAACCAAAAGCACCAACAAGACTTAATACCTCATTCAAACTTGCTCGGCCAATAAAAACGCTACTATAACATCAAAAATCACCAAAATCCTAAGATTCAATTCAAGCTTTAACTTAAACTTTTCAATTTCATATTCGATGCCGAAACCAACTAAACGAAGTCCGAATGAACTGAAATTTTGCAGACAAGTCCAAAATGACATAACGAAGATACAGCAACTTTCGGAATTCCATTCCGACCCTCGGATCAAAATCTCACCTATCAACCGGGTTTCTCTAAAATACTAACTTCGCCAATCTTAGCTAACTTTCACACCGGACCTCTGAATTCACTTCCGTTTTTACTCCTAAGTCACAAATCATTCCCCGAAACTAGTCGAGCCATCGAAAATCTGTCCCGAGCCCTCTAACTCATCGGTCAATATTGGGTTGACTTTTCCAAACTAATCCTTCTTTAAAGAGACTTATTATCTCATTTCCATTCAAACTCAATCCGAATTGACTCAAATTCTCCAAATACACATATTGAAACATGAACAAGTATTTAATGGGGATTACGGGGTGGTAAATACAGGAAACGACGGTTCGGGTCGTTACAACAGCCCAAGCGTTATATCAATATATGTCACAGTGTCGATAGTTACCACTGTTTCCTTTTAAAATCCACGGTGTCAATAGTTACTACCGTTTCCATGAGTCATGCACAGTCCAGAAATATAGTAAAATCAATGATCATCAGCCCAAATTATCATAAAAGGTATTTAAGTTTTCAAAACGTATCATTGTGGCTGAGTTTTACAAAACAGAGTTCAAAGCCTTTGGACAGTGTTCAAATAATATGTATATCATGATAATGCAAACAAATATATCCCCGAAGGATTTTACAAGTCGGCACAAGGCCTCAATCATGGCATCAAGCCCATATCAATCCCTAAAGGATTATGCAAGTCGGCACATGGCCCCAAACCTGCATTAAGCCATATTTCATCAATATAGTACGCGTAGCAGTTGCTAATATAATATAATCTATCCCTCGGATTGAACTGAGTCACAATTCTCATCACATACGACCCCGCACTAACCATGGAGTGCGTGTCTCATCATCACTATAGCATCACAAGGTGATTTACCGGGGTTTCGAACCCTCAGGTAATCATATACACCCATTACTCACCTCAAACCGGCCGAAAATCTAGTCCGCAATGCCTTTTCCTTTAGAATTCCCCTCCACGAGCGACGAACCTGCCCAGAATCACAAAGAATATATTACATGATGATAGTGGAACATATCCCAATTGAACGAACTCGAAAAACAACCCAATTCTCGAAATTCACAAAACCCGAGCCCCGAGCCCACGCCTCGAAATCCAGAAATATTTACATCACAATGGCCCTCGTCTCACCCCGAGTCTATACATACCAATTTCATCAAAATCGGAGTCCATTTGACCCCTCAAATCGACATTTTTCATAAATAATCTCAAACCCTAGTTCTTGACAATTTCACCAATTTTCATAAATTTAAAGGGCGATTCCTCGTTAAAATGACGTAATATAAATACGGGACTTACCTCCAAACACACCCCGATGATTTCCTCTTCAAATCCCGTCTCCTAGCTCTCAATGTAACTCAATAATAGAGGAAAATAAATGAGCTTCGCGGACAAAATAATGGGTTAAAATCATTCTGCCCAGACGACCCCTTCTACGCGATCGCAGGCCTAGCCACGCGATCGCAGAAGGTAAAATTCCCCAGGTCCTCTGACTCTCTTACGCGATCGCAGCCAATGCCACATGATCGCAGAACACCACTGGCCAGACCTAAGCGATCGCAGGTTTCCCCACGCGATCGCAGAGACCACACGCGTGAACCTACGTGATCGTGACTCGCCTCACACAATCGCAGAGAACGACTGGCCTAAAGCTACGTGATCGCATCCTGGGCCACGCGATCGCGATGGCCAAATTCCTGCCGCAATAACAGCTACATTTTCAGCAGCTTTTCCAAAACAAAACATGCCCGTTGGGCATCCGAATTCACCCCGAGGCCCCCAAGACCTCAACCAAAAACACAAACTCATCCCAAAACATCATTCAAACTTTCTCGGGTCATAAAAACGCTATCGTAAACATCAAAAATCCATGAATTCAATTTCAAATGAACTTAAACTTTCAAAATACTAATCCGATCAAAAACCCAACTTAGACATCTCCGAATTATCTGAAAATTTGCACACAAGTCCGAAATCATCTAACGGAGCTAATGCAACTGTCAGAATTTCATTCCGACCCCCGGATCAAATTCCCACCTATCGACCGGATTCTTCCAAAATTCCAACTTCGGCAAACCTAGCTAACTTTCACACCGGACCTCCGAATTCAATTCCGTTTTCTCTCATAAGTCATAAATCATCCCCCGGAACTAGTCGAGCGATCGGAAATCCATTCCGAGCCCTCTAACTCATAAGTCAATGTCGGGTTGAATTTTCTAACTTAAGCCTTTCTTAAAGAGACTAAGTGTCTCATTTCTATCTAATTTCCACCCGAACCACTCCAAACTCATCAAACACGAATATCAACACACGGGGAAGCATATTATAAGGGTAACGGGACTGAAATGCAATAAATGACGGGTCGGGTCATTACATCCTCGCCAACTAAAACAAATGCTCGTCCTCGAGTGGGTCAAGAAACATACCTGAAGCAGTAAACAAATGAGGATATCTGCTCCGCATCTCCTGCTCGGTCTCCCAGGTAGCCTCCTCCACGGGACGACCTCTCTACTGAACCTTCACTAATGATATATCCTTAGATCTCAACTTGCGAACCTTTCGACCCAAAATGGCAACTCGCTCCACATCATAAGTCAAATCATTATCAAGCTGAATCGAGCTGAAATCCAACACATGGGACGGGTCCTCCACATACTTCCGAAGCATTGAAACATGAAATACCGGGTGAACTCCCGACAATATGGGTGGCAAGGCAAGCTTGTAGGCCACCTCTCCAATCTTCTCAAGAATCTCAAAAGGACCTATAAATCAAGGACTCAACTTTCCTTTCTTCCCAAATCTCATAACGCCTTTCATAGGCGATACCTTCAGCAGAACCTTCTCGCCAACCATGAAGGATAAATCTCGAACTCTCTGATCTGCATAACTCTTCTGACGCGACTGAGTTGTACGAAGTCACTCCTGAATCACCTTCGCCTTCTCTAAGGCATCCTGAACCATATCTGTACCTAGAAGTCTAGCCTCACCGGGCTCGAACCAACCAACCGGAGATCTACACCGTCTCCCATAAAGAGCCTCATATGGAGCCATCTGAATGCTGGACTGGTAGCTATTATTATAAGTAAACTCTGCAAGAGGCAAGAATTCCTCCCAAGAACCACCAAAGTCAATCACACAAGCACGCAGCATATCCTCCAATATCTGAATCGTACGCTCGGACTGTCCGTCTATCTGAGGATAAAATGCTGAACTCAAATCGATCTGAGTACCCATCTCTCGATGAAAAGCTCTCCAGAACTGAGAAGTAAACTGAGTGCCTCTGTCTGACACAATAGAAGTTGGAACACCATGCAACCGGACAATCTCCCGAATAAAGATCGCTGCCAACCGCTCAGAAGAGTAATTAGTACACACTGGAATAAAATGAGTGGACATGGTCAGCCGATCCACAATTACCCATATAAAGTCAAACTTCCTCGTTGTCCGAGGTAGACCGGTCACAAAATCCATAGTGATTCTTTCCCATAGTAGACCGGTCACAATAACCATCTGCTGAAGTAAACCACCAGGTCTCTGATACTCGAACTTCACCTGCTGACAATTAAGACATCGAGCCACCTAGCTCACTATATCCTTCTTCATTCTTCTCCACCAATACAGCTGCCTACGATCCTTATACATCTTCGCGACCCCCGGATGAATGGAGTACCACAAGCTGTGAGCCTCTGCCAAAATCATCTCTCGTATCCCATCTACATCGGACACACAAATAAGGCCCCGCATCCTTAGAACACCATCACCATCTATAGTCACATCCCTGAAATTGCCCCGCTGGACCCGATCTCTAAGAACCTGCAAATGCTGATCATGATACTGATACTCCCTAATGTGGTCATGCAAAGAGGACTGAGAAACCACGCTAGCCAATACTCGGCTAGGCTCCGAAATATCCAACCGACCTATCCAATTAGCTAAGGTCTGAACATCAGCTGCAAGTGGTCCCTCCCCAACTGGAATAAAGGACAAGCTGCCCATACTAACTGCCTTCTGACTCAAGGCGTCGGCCACTGCATTAGCCTTCCCTGGGTGATACAGGATAGTAATATCATAATCCTTAAGCAACTCGAGCCACCTCCGCTGCCTCAAATTCAAATCCTTCTTCTTAAACAAGTGCTGCAGACTGCGGTGATCCGTATACACCTCACAAGATACCCCATAGAGATAGTGCCTCCAAATTTTTAAGGCATGAACAATAGCTGCTAACTCCAGGTCATGAACATGATA